AGGGAAAAAACATCTGGTGGCAGGAGTGTTTCCATCCTAATTGCTCTGATGAATGAAGTTTAACTGTTGATTAGCGGATATAAGCAGCAACTTGCTGCCTATCAACCAACAGGAAATGAAACATTCAACATGTACATTTCATGCACATCATCCCACTTTTCTTTTGGGGACAATGACTGCTGATTCAGTCTCTCATCTACCTTCTCCAAAAACCCAGTTGCTTTTGGTCAACCCTACTTTTAAAGTGTTGCACAAATGAGATTCTTTTTTAAGCTGAAACAGAACCCTCCCCATCTTCTGAGCCCTGTTATATTAACAATATTGGCTATTTCATCAACTGGACAATTCCTTTTTCCCTTCCTTCCATGATCCACCTGAATACTGTCCTTCTGACTGTTGTATCTCAGGTTAGAAATGCCTACAAGTAAAAGAGTAAAAGTCACTATTAAACCTAGACATTGCATCACCTCTGTTTCAACTGCAGGAAACACTGGGGGCAGAAAAGTCTATTCTAACCCATCTTTACCTCCTTACTAAAGCAACTAGTGGAAAAGGAAGTACATCTGGATGCTAAGAAGAGGGATTATGGATCAGAGGGGACATCTTCCCCAACCCATTCCCCTCCTTTTGCTGCTGTATTTCTCCCTCCTCCTCCTGAATAGCTGAGAGGCATGCAGACAAAACACTGTATACTCATTGAGAAAACTTTATTAGTGGCTTAGCATGTAGACTTTTCTTAAAGTTCAAAACAGCCCACCTTCTATTTCTTAATGTAGTTAGTTACATAAGTGAAAAACCATGGGCTCATGTATTTCCTCAATAAGTATTAATATAACTGTGTGTTTTATACAAAGTAAGTGCAAAAACAATCTCTTGGTTTACTGGCAAATGGTCCCTGGACACTTCTCGGAGCACCCCCACCCCTCTGTCTGCTCTCACCTGTCCTACTTCCACTTAGCCTTTATGCACATGCTGAACATCACAGGTAGAGATCCCGGCCCCATCAAAATCAATGGTAAAACTGCCACTGACTTCAGTAGGGCCAGGATTTCAGCCTGTCCCTTGGCATTTATGCTTTCAGTTTTCAGTACTTAATTTCCTTTTTCAGGTATCCTTAAAATCTACATACGCTAACTCCCCCTGTACAAAAGCTTCATGTTGGAATACTAGCATAACATTCCAGAATATTACACTGACTGCTAACCTCAAACAAAAGTTTATTACCAGTATATAGGCATGTAACAACACAAAAAAATGACCTGTTAATTTTTTTTCTGGTTGCTGTACGTTACATTGTTATGCACATAGCTGTGTAAAATTTGGCATACAAAGGTCCCAAGTTCTTTATACTAAAGATACTTTCCCTATAATTTAGTCATGATTCGATTGATGGACTTTGATTAACATTAAATATTGTTGGGATTTTATATTTAGGTAAGTGGCATTTGTTTTTAAAGTAGCCACAATTGAAAAAGCATCCATATATTAGGTTGGCTCGTCATAACAGTATATATATATTAAAAAAAATAAAGATGTTTCAATTATAGTGATAGACTATTATATATTTGGTCTCCTTAAAAAACATTGTACCTTAGGTCCAAGTAACCACAGAGGGTAATTAATTAACAAATACCTTTTGCTCTGTGCAAAACACCCCAGAATATTTAATTCTTAAAAAAAAATCCCGTTTGCATTCTCACTTGAATGAGGAAAGCACTTCACCACCATAAACAGATCCTAAAAACAAAACATGTTGTGCTTCATCTTACTAATGTGACTATGGCTCTTTTAGAGCAGTAAAGATGTACCTTACATGAAGGAACTGGCCGCGAGTAACTTGGGACCCCTTGTATATGTTACATATTTTATACCACACTTCAAAAAAAGAAAGTTAAATACCTTGTGACTAGAGCGCTGTTTATTTCATAATCTAAACAAATACTGTAATACAGTCTATGCTTTTCTATTTTCCTGAAAACTTTACAATGAGCATCTTTTTTTTTTAAACATACAATCTGCATACACAAAAAACATGCATGCTCCTAACTCCAGCAAAGATAAGAACAGTCAGAATTTCCACCATTTTTCTGTTGCCTGCATTAGAAAAAATAATTTTGTTTTATTGTAGTAATGGCAGTGTAGCTAAGAATACAAAGACTACAGCTTGGTTTTTCTCCTTGCTCAGAAAGTGTCCATCACAAGCATGCTGATGGCGATAAATATTAAGTGTTTATTAAATGAAATGTATTCTTGTGGGGTTTTTTAAGACGACTAAGTGGCTACATGTAAATGCAGTGAAGCAGGTACAAGCTTAATTAATCCGAGTTGATTCCAACTGGCACAAAGACAAAGCAGCGTCTGACAGTCTAGTTAGCGTAGTCAAAACAAGACTTTCCAAAGGTTACTTAGGAATTTCATTGCAAGGAATCTGCTTTCTACTTTCAAAAAGTAGAAATAAAAAGGATGAAGGGCTACAGCACAGCCAGTTCTGCACACAAAGCAGGTCTTGTGCAAGAGTGGGTTCTCTGGATGAAACTTCTGTAGTCCATTACTGTTTAAGAGCATCTGGTAAAGTTTGTTACTTTTTCTGCTCCCTGTGCCCACCCCTCTTCGTATGCGGGTTTTACAACCTGCTATTGTTCATCCATCACTAGGTTCTCAGTGGTTCTTTCTGATTTCTTTGCCCATTTTTTAAACCACAGAATGATCATTACTGTGCACCCCTGCCAAGATTGTGTGATTGAGTGACGAGGCAGAGCGGTCCGAACCCTCTGTTGGACCATTGGCACTCTCACTGCGCTGACAACACAGGATCTGCTTGAAGGTAGCGCTCATTTCCTTATCCCGGTAGGAGTAGATGATAGGATTCATGGCAGAGTTGAATTCAGCAAGTAGCAGAAAGAATTTTTCATAGGCCAGGACATTACACTGAGGGCAGCAAACGTCAAGGAGCAACAAGACTAGTCCTGGGGTCCAGCAGATTATAAAAGCACCTAGAAAGAGAGAGAGAGGGAGAGAAAGACAAAAATGTAATAGTAACACTGCACAGATCACATAAAATGCAATGAAGATGATCTGGCCAAAGGCAGCAATATTTAATTTCCTTTGTCTAGAGGAATATCCCACCACAGTTTATTCATTGATGTGATGAGAAATACATCTTTTAATCCAAAAGTATTTGCTCAAAAGCGAAGCATCTCTCCAAGCACACTCAACCCTAAATGATGCACTTTGGCAAATATATTCACATTTAAACTTGATGATGGGGAACATTTTTCCATTTCAGCTAGGGACCGCTGATTAATCACCCTTTTGCTCTAAGCAACGTTGATGCAATTTACTGCAATTCAAACTAACAGCAATAACAAAGAGAACCCTTTTGTTAGTACTGTGAATGAAGTATCAGAAGCAGAGAAAAGCAGTGCTGGGAGCAATTCTCAAGGAAAAGAATGCGTGGGTCCTGTTAATCCATTTCAGCCCCATTATGTAATTGAAAGTACTAAATACATGCTCTTCTTGCACCGAAATGTCATCCTTCCATGCCTTTATTTCCTTTCATAGAGTTCTATTCAGCAGAAATTCAGAAGCTCCTCAAGCTTCAGTAGCAAGAATGCCAAAGAGTCTTGCCCTGATTAAATACACTTTTTCCTTCCTTCTTCACTTGCAGAACAACGAGTTGGGAAAGCCCAGAACAAAACTACATTTAGTGGGCGATGAAACCAAGTAGTTTTTATTTTAATAGGGAAACTGTGTTCAGCTATTTTCTTACTGTACACTTAAAGATGTATTCAGCATACACAGAGAGGGGAAATTGTTACACATGAAAACATTTAAACAAAAAGAAAGTCTGAGATTTCAGTGCTCCTAATATTTCTTGGATTTATATCTGGAAAAATCAAGTCTGAACAGAAATGTTTACAACAGACAGCAGCAATGCAAGTTTCTGCCTTTTTAAATCTATTCTATTTGGCTTCTTATGCCACACCATCACTATAGTATCTTATTATTACTAGATCAACATTGAGTTTGAGGGGAGCAACCTGGAGAAACAAAGTTTAATATGCAATTTAAATCTACCACTTTTCTTCTGTGCACACCAAAAAGTTGTCCACTATTTCTAGCAAGGCCAGTGGTGGTTTTGTGCAATTTGGACATCTTTCCACGAGGAAACAAAATTTCATTTAACCAGGGCCCCTGTGCAGCCATAAGCTTTCCCTGACACAATGAAGTCCTTAGAATGCTTCAGCAGAGACTCGGGTTGCCTTTTTATATGGCTATTTTATGACCAAGGAGAAGACAACTGGGTATGCTCTACTAGGAGACCACACAATCTGTTAGTTTGATGCAGCCATGAAAAAGGTAAATGAGCACTATGGTTGCATCAGGAGAGGTATTTCCAGTAGAGATAGAGAGTAGTATCATTAAGCAATACACTGGTGAGACCTCCTCTTGACTACTGGGAATATGAGTAACCAGAACTGTACAAGAAAGATTAATGGAAACTGGAGCACGTGCCGAGAAGGCCTATTAGGACAACCAGAGGATGGAGAGCCTGTCATAGGAAAGGAGACTAAATCACCTTACCTAAAACAAAGACTAAAAGTGAATAGGATCACTGTTCATAAATAAATTAAGGGAATTTAGAGAGGGAGGGAGAGAAAAGAAGTATTGTAGCTAAAGGACAAGGCTGGCACAAGAATAGATAGGTAGGAGCTAACCATGACTAAATTCAGACTGGAAATTAGAAGTAGGTACTTAACCATTAAAGCAATCACTTTGGAACAGCCTGCCAATAAGAAGTAATGAGGACAAAAGAAATAAGTGCTCTTAAGATGTAGTTTTTGATCCATGTTTGAAAGAGATTAGATGATGTGTTGATTTGAGATGGAAGGTGACTAGACTGGATAGCCCTGGAGCTCTCCTCCAGCCCTATCGTCTTATTTATAGGCGTGCACCTGGCAGACAAGTCTGTAAGGGAGATTGCAATTTTCTTTCTTAAAAGCAAAAGAGGGAATAGCTGCCTGATGCTGACAGCGTGATCTCCAGATGAAACTAAACCCCTACAATAAAATGATACAGATACCTTGCCTCTGCCGGTGCCTCCCATTCAACAAGCTCTACTGAAAATGCTATGCCACCAGTGACCATCATCTTAAACTTCAGCATTGTTAAAACTGAGTATCTAGGTTCAGCTCAACTTGCTGGGCTATTATAGGGAATAAGGCAGTCTGTACTTGAATCTTTCATTAAGGATCACCTAGAAGTTTTCTTCCAGTTCAGAGTGCAGTGACTCTCTTTCTTAGGAGCACTATTCCCCTGGGTACACTAACCTTCTGCTTTAGTCTGCTTGTGATGATGTGGGCTGGCTAGCCCCTGGCAACTATGTGGTTCTTTATTGATTTTTGAAAGGTCAATGCAATTTCAAAATTCAATGTACTCAGTGCCACAGGTTGACAACTTATTGGACTAGCTAGGAGCTGCCCAGTATATGATAACCCTTGATTGGACAAAAGGGTATTGGCAGATCCCATTAACACCAGAAACTAGAGAAAAGACAGCATTTTCTATCCCCTTCAGTTTATACCAATTCTGGACATGAGGCCCCAGCCACATTCCAGAGGCTGACGGACTGAGTGCTGCAGCCCCATCAGGGATGTGCAGTAGCATATCTGGATGACACAGTGGTCTACAACTAGACATGGGCAGAGTACCTGGATCTCATGGTCACAGTGCTGTGGTCACTCTGGGAAGTGGGTCTAACCACAAACCCAGCTAAGTGCCACATGGGTAAGACCGAAATCACACACCTGGGGTACCCCCTGAGGAATGGCCAATTACAGACACTGGTAGACAAGGTCCAGGCCTTGCAGAGGTTCCCAACACCAAACAGCAAAACACAGCTATGCTGGTTTCTAGGATTGGCCACTTACTACTGACAGTTTATAGTGCCATTCTGTTCAACTGCAAGCCCCTCCACAGTCCTTCTGAAGGGTGAACATCCTCAAATGGTATAGTGGACCAGAGAATCTTCCCTGGTGTTCTGCACTTTGAAGACTTGCCTAAGCCGGGAACCAGTCCTGTACAACCTGGACTTTTCAAAGGAGTTTATACTCCAGACCGATGCTTCTGGAATGGGGTGGGGGCAGTGTTGTCCCAAACGGTGTATGGGGAGGAACAAGCCATCCTCTATTTGAGCTGGAAGCTATTTACAAAGGGAGAAGAATCAGTTTAGCATTGAGAGAGAATCTCTGGCAGTAAAAAAGATGGTGGAAGCCCTCAAATATTCCTCGATGGGCAGGACCTTCACCTGGATCACAGACCACGCATCCCTCCACTGGTTGTACACCATGGAGATGACAAACACCCAAAGTATACCTGGTTCTGCAACCCTTCTCCTTCCAAATCCATCACAGGCAAAAAGACCCATTGTAATGTGGATTTTTTTTATGGGCGGGGGAGGAGGTAACCAGGGAGGGAAATACCCCGAAAGAGATCTTGAGGGGAAGGGTGCATGATGGTGTAGACTGGAAAGGTCCTGGCAAGGAAGAGATTAAAGAGAGCTGCTGGGCTGGAGAGCTGCTGGGCTGCACTGGCTTGCAGCCAGTGGGAGTTCTCCAGGAGTGGTACAGAAGGGGGAAGTCAGGCTCAGAGGGGAGAGGACTCTGACTACTGACTGAGCCTGGCTTTCTGGTCAGATATCCTCTGAGGAGCAAGCCATGTGTATTCCCAGATCAGTGTGGGTGTCTGGACTGATTATAGCATGGGGAGCAGGGAGTCCTTTTAGACTGCTACTTTGTTTATCAGCTCAATTCACAATGACCTACAAATCAAAATTTCTTACCCTGTTGCTATGTGGCTGAAAGAATAAAATCTAGCAGAACCACATGTCAAGTCACATCTGGGAGGATAAAAACTGCATCCTGACTGCTCACGAGAGAAGTACTTTGGCATCCCTCACAAAAGTCCCATTCATCCTTATAAGAACCCAGACATGTCAAGATCAAGAGTATCAAAGGCAGCTGACAGATTTATAACCCATTGGTATGGACAGCTGGGCTATGACATTCATTAGAGCTAGACCTCCAACTGGTTAAACCCCAATGGAATTTATCAGATGACAAGCTTAAAACATTAGATTCATAATAAACAACTACTATATATTAGAAGTATGAAGATCAGCCTTCCCAATGAGCCACACAGCCAACAGAAAAGGGATGAAATAAGGAGTCAATTTAAGGTAGGCTGCTAGGGTAAAACATTGACTTCTCTTACATGGATTAACCACCTGCTTGGGAAGCTAGCATAAACCTACCCTCCTGCAGGAAAGAGAGTCAACATTCTCCTACTTCTGAACTCTCACTAGACACAAGAGGGCATGGGTCTGTTTTACATGTTTCTGGTTAATCTTCACTCTCCAGTTTTAGGCCATCAAGAGGAACTGAAAAATCAGTGCAATCATCTTTCTTCTCCTGGAACAAACCCTCTCTTCCTAACATGACCAACTTTAACTGCAAAGTAGCTGAAAAATACAGGCTTAGTGAAAAGCCAGTAGGTGATGGAATATCTATCTACTTGAATACTGTGAGATGTATATATGCTGAATGTGCCAATTGAAAGTCACTTTTTGTTGAATCTGCTTATGGCAATGAATGCATAGCTTTACTTCATGTTTACAATATATTCCATCCTTGCCAGTCTGGCAGCACTCTCTCACTTGTTGCTGGAGTAATTTTTTTATGAAAATCGTTGGATAAACACAGCAGATCTTCCACCCATAGCAATCTGCTGATGTAGATTTTGCAAATTCCATGTGAACATTTTTGATCCAAATTACAGTCTTGTAGAAATTACATATTCCACATTCAACCTAAACAGGTTAGGCAATACTGGAGTCCTACCTGCCTTTATAATGCCATGTGTTTCCTTTGTTGTAATCTGTCTTGGAAGGATGGCATTGAGGCAGGAATGTTACAATCCACTGAATTTGAAAGTT